ACACACTGGACCTTTAATATTTTCAGATCCACAACAGTCCTGTTTTGATGTGTTATGTATCTGTTTGTACATGTGTTAGGTGATTCATTTTCTTCTTCTGGTTGTCCTCTTTAATCAAAGACATACATTCATTTTAAGGAACAAAGAGACAAATACTTTGGCACTAGCAGAAATAGTTTCACTGCAACTTCTCTCTCTCTCTCTCTGTCTTCTATTCTCTGTGAAGGACTCTTGTCAGAAGCCTGCCTGCTATGAGAAGACAGTTACACTGACTAAGGAGCCGTATGACTCCCTGGGTATGACAGTGGCAGGCGGCATGTCCAGCCGAGGGTGGGACCTTCCCATTTACGTCACAAATGTGGACTCAGACGGAGTGGTGGGACAGGAGGGCTCCATCCGCAAAGGTAAAATGAACGACTACTGAACCTCTTCATGTCTCTTCCCATCGCTTACCTGCACACTCAATCTTGTAATTACCAGAATATTACTCATAATCTTTATTACAAGGATTGTCGTGTTCAGCGCTTCTGTGCAAATGATTATTCATTTAGTGGATGGTGTATTTGTTTTGTGAGGTTGTCGTCTTCTGTGGCTGGCAGACTGTCAGGGATTTGGCTTTGGTGATGACTACTTTGTATATAACAGAGGGGGGTGATTGATGAACACTTATGATTCATGTTTCATTATGAAGTGTATTCATCCGGCAGCAAAAAAAGACTCAGTGATGCTGCCGTGGTTCAGTGCTCCGTAAATTGGCTCTAACGCACATCAACAAAAACACAAACAAACGTGACTATAGCAGCGCTCGGGACTTATTGTGTTGCAGAGAATTTGTTGGGAGAACTTAATTATTGCGTTCTATGAAATCAGTCAGCTCTGAAATAGAGCAAAACATAGAGCGGTATGCAAATAACTGGATGTATTAGCAGCCGTCTTGATATCCTATAATGCAGATGAAGGCAGGGGAGTGAGTGATTTTAGCCTCAGCTGCCGATTCCAGCATAACCATCTTAAATCATCACACTGAATCCCTCCTATCTGAGGCTCTGTTAATGACAGGGATGAGAGTAAAGCTGTCATGGAGCATCACAACAACATAAAGACTTCATGAAAACCGAAGTAAATTGAGTCTCTGTTTGCCCTGTGCATAGTTCAAGGTGCACGTAACTGTATTCATATGGGACATTGGAGCAGCAGCAGCTGTCTCTGTTTGTGTGGTTATAAAACATGTTTGTGTATTGTAATAGACTATTCATCTGCATTTGCATATCCGCCTAGGGCAAACGTGTCCTTTGAGTTGCTCACTAGCAAGCTGGACCGTGCTGTCTGTTTTTCTTTGCACCACTTTTATTGCTAGGAGGCTTTTTAAAGCACAGGTGGCGCTCTGTTTCCATCCCCTTTGTGTTGTAAGCAGGAAGGGTGTTGAATATTAAAGAGGCAGATGATGAGTCCCTGTCCTATGAGGTCTTTTGAAAAGCATTTATCAGGGCAGTAACCCCGGGCAGAGGATGAGCTGTGTTGTCCACTTCCTCCCTCCCGCAGGTGACATCTTGTTAAACGTGAACGGGGTGGACTTGACGGGGGTGACGCGAGGTGAAGCCGTGGCCAACTTGAAGAACACCTCCTCTCCCGTTGTGCTCAAGGTCTTGGAGATGCGTCCTCCGGAAGACAGCCTGCAAGAGTGCCCGTTGCCACCCTGTCTCACACCCTCACCCACAGACAGCACCAAGAGCCCACTGCCCAATGACGATTACTCGCCACTGTGGGTTTCATGGCTGCAGCTACCCAGGTGAGCATCGGTTTGTGTCTCTGTGTCCACTCCATATACATTTTTCTACTTTGTCTACTACTTTTTTCTGAGCCCAGTATAATTTACACCCCCCACGTTGGTCCTTTTGACCTCTGCCAGCTGGTGCAAACTGAAATTTTGACAGAGCCAGCTGGGGGAAAGAATACTCATTATACTTTCAAACTTTTCAGCTTAAATATTCACCGCTGTTATATCAGTGGAACTTCTGAGAATAGAAAACTTTCCCTCGGATTGTAACATATGAATTTATCTTAATGGAATGTGTCAGTGGCACGCTGACTGCAATAAACAACTGCTGCTCCGGCTTCAAGTGAAATAAAAATGTGTTTCTCCTCAAACAGTGAATTGATTAGGAGTCAAAACTGAGTACTGAGTCACCATGGGAATGTAGTCTAGACCAGCAGTGGAGCTAAAAGGATCTGAATGTAATTTCGACTTAGGCTATCTTTATGAGACTGATACAGAAGTCCAAATATTCTCATTGTTTCACATCTCCTGAGAGGAAAAGTCACACTTTCATTCAAAGAGCAGCCGGGCCTTTGTCTTCGGAGCAGATTCTAGCTACTGTGCACACGCTCCGTATGGATATACTGTATATATAATTTAAAGATGCAGTTGAGAGATTAGTGTTTTTAATCTCTCTTGGCTCATGTAGGCATCTCTACTGCTGCAAAGACATTGTTCTGCGGCGGAGCACTTCAGGCAGCCTGGGCTTCAGTATCGTGGGAGGTCAGGAGGAGGTCAACTGCAATCAATCCTTTTTTATCCGCTCCATCGTGGAGGGAACGCCAGCCTACAATGATGGCAGGATAAGGTATGAAGACTTTATTACTGTTATTTCCTGTGAGCAAAATGTTTTAGATTAGCTTCAACACAACCTGTATCTGCAAAGTGTGCCGGTCCGTTCTGGTTCATGAGCTTAAACCGCTTTGACTGAATGCAAACCAGCTGAACTGACACGCTCTGGAAAACTTAAAAGTAGCCTACATCAGGAAGCTGTGCCGATGGTGTCATGTCACTAAATCCAACTTGTATTGCATTAGTAATAAGCAATATGACAATGTGATAGAGATAATGTTATGTTTACAAATAGACTGATGTCTAGTGTCTGACAGGCCATCACAATTTCCTGCGTTGCTGAGGCCGGCAACATGAAGGGGATCAAATTTCAGTAAGGGTGGGAGGGGGAAGAGCAGCACATGTTGTGTTTGTATACTAGAAAGTTATTGTGTTTTTGGGGTGATGAGACGAGACATGGCAGGATTGGTCTCAAGACAACATTTTGGATTTAAAGCAGACGAAAGAGGTATCCTAACTGGCAACAAGCAATGCCGTGCGCCATTTTGAGCTGAACATGTGTCGGACACTGACAATAACTGAAGAACGGCTGATTCGTGAAGTTAAAATGAGGAATTATCTGTAACATACCTCCTTATTTCACCACAAAAAAAATAAGGAGGCAGCTGGCTGGAGAAAGATCGCCACGGAGCTGAAAGCTTCTGGTAAAAGACCAATGCTAAAATTAAACCTACTTACAGTTTTAAAGTACATTTATAGGAACATAGCAAGTAGGCTACTCATCCATCTTTTAAGAGGTAAAGTCTCTAGTCTGAGCTCAAACGCACAGCTGATAGATGCATGTTGTTGTTTTTTATATGATGTCACAAAAGTGCATATTTAATGGATTCAGTGTTGACAGAGAGCTCCGTTGTTACGGGACACAATAGGACGCTCATTTGCTGGTGGGACACGGTGTCATTATGTTCTCAGGAGCAGATGATGAGTCAGTCTGGTGTTCGGCTTATTATCCAACCCTTTTTGAAGACTTGACACTGGCCCTACCCTAAAATTTCCCTGTTTTTTAACATGTATATCTGTCAAGTAATTTCTGGATGTTAATTAACACAACCCTATGTTAACCGTGCTTTCTCAATGGCCCTCTCACTCTGTGCAGGTGTGGGGACATCTTGCTCGAGGTGAACGGGAAGAGTACATGGGGGATGACCCACACAGCGTTGGTGCGCCTTCTAAAGGAGCTCCGGGGCAGGATCACCCTGACCATCGTCTCCTGGCCGGGCAGCCTGCTGTAGCGGCGCTCCAAGTCACCTGGCGCTGCTTCAGCGGCATTGACCGAGGAATGTGGAAGGCAGAGCTTTAGACTGGCTGACCACCCTAAGCTTGCTGTGTGCGGGAGAAGCTTAGAATAGTGTTATAGCTGTGTGGATATCTCACTTCTGATGGACAGCAGAGACTTTGCCAGGAGTTCGGAGACTGGATTGTTACCAGAGGTCAACTTGCCCCCTCCGAGTACACTGAATGTGGGGAGGATTGACGCCTGAGCCACTTCTGACCAGGATGTTGGTGTTATCTGTTTGGAGGACATGATCATTCTCTGGCACAGCATCCAGTGAGTGGGGTGGGCGGATCGAGAGGAGACACAACACGTTGCCAATTCCAGTAGTTATATATTAGGGTATGCGTTAAGTTGGACTCACATTTCTTTACTGTAAATGTTGGGTGTCTAAAAAAGTACTGATCCAAGCACTTGTAATACGTTTCTTTTGTTTGTTTGTGGTATGGCCTTTAAATATAGGCTCCATTCTGTTTGTACTGACAGTGGTTGTCTTCTTCATCCGTTTGACCTGAGGACACGTTGCCAAGTAGTCGTCTGTGTTGAGGTTTCTTTCTTTTATTTCAGAAGCTATGGCAAAATTATCCAACCACTGGCAAAAAAATATATAAAAAAGTAATGGATCAATGTGTTCATAACATGTTAAAAGATAATATTTAATTAGGTGACATTGTGGAGGCCTTACTAATTTTCTTACTTTTAAGAAAAAAAAACTGACTTGGTTTCTGTGTATCAGTGGATGGTCTGAGGCCATTCCACTGTGGTTCTGTCTGTCACGCTTCGGCCTGTGTAGTATATCTGATGGTACATTTGGTTAAATGATCAATAAAGTCATTTGAAAAACAGAGTTGTGTGAGAAAAGCCTTCCTTAAAAGCTCCACTTCAACTCAACAAAAACACACTACAAGCTTGTGCAACATAAACATTTCTGTACAATACATGCACAAAATTATCTTTAGCTTCTCCAATAATATTCTAATAAAAATCACATTTTCTGATAAAACAGAGTAGGATGCCACAAGGCAGTTCCTCTCATTAAATAGTCTGAGAGACTGACTGTCAGTCAGACTTTAATTTCCTCTCATGGTCAGCAGAGGACATCTTGTTGGTCTCCTTTTCCTTCCTCTTTTTCCTGGCCCTTTTCCTTTTCTTTCTACTCTGACTCTCTCCTTCCTCACCACCATTCTTCCTTTCCTTTCTGCTGCTGCTGAGGACATACATGACAATGATGATAATTCTGTCATCTTTGCTGTTTTCTCATTGAGACTATGTGAATGTGTGTGTTAGACCTGCGTGATGATTTTTACCCTCCTTCGTTGTTGTCTCCGTGCCTCCTCTCTCTGTGCCGTTTGTCTTTTTTCTCTCCACTGGATCTGGCCAAACTGTGGTGTTTGTGCCCTCGCTCCGTTGTGTCCCTGTGCCTTGTTTGCTCCTCCCCGCTGAAAAATATCATACACACACACGCAGTGTATTTTTTTACATTTGCTAACGATGAAGCTGGAGGCTTTTTCTTCGGGAAATAACACAAAGGGAAAAGGAGCTCATAGCCCACAGGAATGAGACTGCTGGCCTTTTTCCTTTTCTCCACTGGGAGAGAGATAAGTCAGAACTCAAGGGACCAAAACCTTAACCACAGTGCCTGCTGCTGAGCTTTTGTAGCCTCCTCACAAAGAGCCTGACACTTGTGTCCCAGCATGCCCTTTACTGTACATTAAAGCCAAGCAGGTATGCTGCAGTATCCTCTTAGATAGAAAAAAACTTACTATTCACTGTAGGATCTGATCAGTTATAAATTACTACACACCTCTCCTCCCTTCATATGACCTCTGAAAACAGAGAAATTGATTCACTGATTAATCAGAGTAGAAGAGGGGCACGTTTAAAAACAGTAAAACCATAACCAAACATCTGTTCACACAACTTAGGGGCCGCACATACGGCGATCTTTAAGGGCCTGGAAAACACAAGGTCAGGTGCTGGGTGCTACTCTTGTGCCTTTTTTGCAACAGCTTTCAAGAGCGTGGTGGCAGGTTAATATGCACAGTAGTGTGCAGGCCTATCGTCCGTGGGACAGATGTAAAGTTTTGGCAGCTCTGCACACTCTGCTACATTCCAAAAGTTGAACTCTATTTATCTCAGGGTGAAGCCGTTGTGCCCTGAAAAACAGGCGCTTGGGAATGCATGCGCACCATGACAGCGTCGCTCTGCCATTTGAGTGCACCTGCCACAAGTCTACATTGAAAACAATGAATTTGGGGGCACAAAAATGCCGCATGTGTAGGGCTCCTTAGTCAGTGTAAAGCAACTCTCATTTATTCAGCCGTATGCTCAGTACCTCCCAAACGCATGCATTCTTGCTAAAACCTTGTCATTTAAAACTGTTCCACATACGAATAGAGCACCTGTTTTAAATATTAAGGTGTTACCGAAAATATGTTTGGGAAGTACTGAGCATACGACTGGATAAATGACACTTGGATTATACTGCGCAAATATAGTTTTGCTATTGTTAAATGTGGCCGCTTTTCATCCCAATTCATCAAGGAATTTCGCAGTTTGTGGATTCTTCATTCACCAAGGAAGCATTCAACAAACAAAGTTTTCTTCACAATTTCGGTGTAACACAGAGTGAGTAATTAATATACAAATGATCATTTTGGGGGTTAAGATACCTTTAACAACAGTCCAAGAGTGCCTCAAGACTGCGTTTCACCTCATCTTCAAACATTAAACAAAACAAAAAACCTAAGATATGACCTTTAAAATCAGTCTGTTGAATTTGCACTCATGCTGCAAGACTGGTGATAACAGCTCCCAGTCACTGGTTGTCATAGTAACTAGCAATGTACTTTTCGGTAACAGGTTTTCAGGTGCACGATAGTCAGAAAAAAGCATCTATCATAGCAAGCATTCCAAATACTTGTCACTATGTGGCTCACAGTTTTTCACAGAGGGGGGAATTAAGTTGACCCACACCAGACTGCTTCATCTGCAGGGAAAAACTGTCAAATGCAGAAGTAATACCATAAAAGACATTTTGCAAACTCTAAAATATAAGCTAATTTTACTTTTGAACAGGGCAAAAGGGAACTATTTCTATCTATTAGCATCCTTAATCTTTATTTATTTTAGTACGGGGGGTGCCATTTTAAAATAAAATCACCACTAGAAATACTATAGTGTCCCATTATAGTAGCTGCCTGCTCTGAAGGATGCAGTCTATTACAGTGTAACCTTCAGAGCGTCTCTGGTAATCAGAGTCTGGTTGGCTGCAACACTGTGTCCTCCTAATATGAGATGCACCACAACGTAATTACACGTTACCACCACTACAGTCTCACTCATTATGCTTTAGTTAATCAGTACTGTAAACATCTCTACAGTTAGTGTATAAGACAAGATGGCTTTATCAGCTCCACTCTGCCTGCTTTCTGTTTATTAAAGAGACAAAATACAAATATGAGAATTTGAATTAAGTGAAATCTTTCTTCTCGTGTCACAAACAGAGCCCCCACATCTGCTTCTGGTCTCACCAGGAACAGTGGAAAGATAGTGAGGGGCTGGCACCAAAATAGGATTTAGCTTTCTATCTGCCCTCAGCACCATTTGTTTCAGTTCCTTGGACAGCAACCACCAAGCCATCTGTGTTTGTGAGAACGAACACTGATTGTTTGATTTGGCCAAATGGACCACCATTTAATCAGGTTATTGAGGGAACAATGATTGTGTAAAAGCACCGATGCCAATCAGTTTGCTGCAGACAGAACAAAGATATATTATTTCTGTTGAAGGCTGAGTGTAAAATCGAACAAAATTGGGGGCTCAGGTCAATTGAAAGCTACCAAAGAGAAAAAAATTGGAAACTGCAACTGAGTGTGTGAGAAACAAAAATGTTTTGTAAGAGATTACCAGTGCACAGTGCCCTTGGGAAGAGAGCTTTAATCACCATACAAAGTGAGCAAGCATTCAACTGTGCTTATTTTTCAAGGAGATAATTTTCCTCTATTTTCAAGAGCAACTCCAGCATCAGTTCTTGTTCTTGGCCTTGTTTCATCCAAAGCAATATGAGCAGTTGATGGTCTTTCTTATGCTGCTTCTCAATGCTACACAGCACACACATCTTTGGGGGAGGTGATGGGCTGGCCATAAAAAGTGGGAGTAAATCCAGCTCACCTAGCACCACAGCTCAGCCGAGGAAGGCGCCATTAATGTTTACATCTCGCATTATCACAAGCACAAGCCTCTTGTTTATGTGAAAATAGTTCCAACATGAAATCCATCCATCTAGCTCCATTTTGTTGAAGCAACGACAGACATCTCTATTACTGATATCTCCAACACTCAGCAACTCACACAAAAACAATCTAGATTCATAAACAGCACTACAGGTAAGAGGAAATGTATGTATTTTTGTATTTTTGTCCCTTTAAGGCCCATACAGAATTCAGTGAATACAAATAATATTGTGCATTGTTTGTTAGTTTAAAGCAAAAACTTTGCCATCTGCTGAAGGGGAGTCTGTAATGTGTGTGTACATCTACAACAATGTTTTTCTCACACTCCCTCGCCTCAACAAAAGACACCATGGCAAAGCTTGCACTTTGCAGATTTAGAATAATCACCCTGACCTTTAAGAATCATCATGCTGAAGGCATTTCTCTCTGCCACAATAAAAGTATCATCTTGCTCAAAAAAGTCTATAGGAGAAACACAGATACGGCAGCGCTAAGGCAAACAGCTCACACATGGCTGGAGTAATTATTACCATTCACTTGTTTAACACAGAAAAGAGAGCGAGTGCAAGCCTTAAGGGGCAGAGTTGTTGCAAGTACAAAGCTAAATATATTCAATATTTGGAGACAGCTCTTGTGTTAGCAGTGGGGATTAAGACCCAAGGCCCACATTTGTTCTTGCTCAAAGCCATTAGCTTTAACACAGAAACAACCACCTCACACAACGCCAAGAACACAGTCAAACAGTTCCCTAGGAGACAGTGTTAGAAAGAGTAAATCATAGCATAGAGGCCTCGGGATTTGTTTTCACATTTTATGATTTTATTAATCAGTGGTGCCCAGGCCTGTCAGGGCAGGCAGTATCGCAGATTTCATAATAAGATGCCTGAGCCTGTCACGGTGTAATTTTGTCCGCTCCATCCCCGCAGTCATTAAACTGAGAAACCCAGATGATTCAGTGAGCCACACTGCGGATATGAAACGCAATTTATGATTGGCACAATTAACATGAAAGCAATATCCACAAGAATAAATAGCAGCTGCGAGTGAAGGGATAGAATGAAACGTCTAATGACTCACAGAGCAGGAGATGTTGTTATTTCAGCTACATTATGGTGGAGAATTATGGCGGAGTCGCCAGAAGAAACGCAACTGTGCCAGTGTGGGCAGTACCGTGTGGTCAACAATAAGCCACCTTCTCTGTACGGGCGAGTGTTTGATCTCTCAAACATGACTTACGTAACAGCCCCAAAGTGTCAGGGGCCACCCGGGCCTTCACTTGCAAAATGTCATTCAAATGAACATGTAGCGACCAGGAGGAGACTCAAAATGGCCCCAAAGAGACACAAAAAGACCACAAGGAGCTGCAAGGAGACACATAATAGCTACAGAAATGGGCAAAGAGACACAACACGACTACAGAGTGACAAACCAAACATAAAGAGACAGGAAGTGACCACAAAGCCACACAAAATGACAGAAAAATACACAAAATTACCTTAAAGAGACCCAAACAACTACAAAAAAACATGCCAAAAGATGCAAACCAACACAAAGTCTATGTGTCTTGCTCCTATGTAGGACAGGTGGTAAAGCCCTTTGCATTTCTGTGCTCTGGGGCACATTGTCTCATTATCTGCCCATGCTCTCAAGGATTATGTCAATTTTTTAAGACAAAAAGGTAACATATAACTTAATTCAACCTAATTTGGCTTTACTGTCTCTCCCTCTATCTCTTTTCTCTCCTGTTCCTACCTACTTTTCTACTCAGTGATAACAAGGCTTGATATTTACATATTAGAGTCAATTAATATGTAGATTCTACTAATGTGACCTTACTTGGTAACGCTGACACATCCCATGGTGCTATGCGTCTAAAAGCAATTGCACAATCAATCCCACTTAGACTTTTTTCAGGCACTTGCCTTGTTTGTTTTTCTCTAAAACTGCCTCTGAAGCCAGACACACGTAAAGCCACAGAGCCACCTGGGTTCGTAAGGAAGAGCTCTTTAATCAGGTTATTGATGGAACCATGGTTGTGTAAAGACACCAGTGCCAATCAGTTTGCTCCAGAAAGAGCAAAGATACTACTAAGAAGCCAATATTTCCGTAGAAGGGTGAGTGTAAAATCGAACAAAATTGGGGGCTCAGGTCAATTTAAAGCTACAAAAGAAAAGAAGTGGAAAGTGCAGCTGGGTGTGTGAGAAACAAACATGTTTTGTAAAGGATTACCAGTGTGCAGTGCCCTTGGGAAGAGAGCTTTAACCTACACACATCAAACAAGTAAGCAAGTGTTGCTGGCTGTGATTGGGAAGACAAAGAGGCTAATGCAGAGGAATGTACGCCAGTGAGCTACGTATGTCAAGCTAAGACAGGAAGTGATGCTGTATGTTGAATAAATAAAGACAGACGGTAGCGTCAAATGCAAGGACAAGCACTGCAGAAGCAACATTAAAATTGATTAGGCACAGAGCCTGAGATTGGCTGTAGAAAGAAATGAGTTTCATGCATGAAAAGTTGAGTCAGAAAGACAGAAAGTATGTCACATTAAGGGCTAAGTAAGTTGGGTAGGGGGGAGAATAAAAACAGATGTCGGTGGAAGAATACACAGGCCCCAAGTCAGACCCTGAAGCCAGGATAAAAGTGGCAGCATGCACAAAAGCAGCTGAGGAAAATCAAGTAAAGACAGGTTTTTACTGTACCCGTCTCCGCCTATGGTAGAAGAAAGGAGGCAAATTGGATCTTGCTATGCCTAAATCTAAAACAAAAGCTGGAAGGGAGACAGAGCAGCTCCTCAAAATCAAAAGGCTGCCATGAAAGTTGCATTGAGGATATTTTTGAAACTACAGGCAAGACTTATGAAAGTTAGGAAAATGTACCGATCCAAATGTTTCCAGCTAAGAAAGGAGATCACTCTGTTGTGCATTAATGCAAAATGAATAAGACTGTTATTGTTTACTGCTGCAAATTAGTTTGAGGCTGTAAAATGTTATTGCCATGCGTTTGCTGTAGCAAATTAGGAATGCTCTAATTTGGTTTCATTGCATTGTATTACAGCAGCCCTTTTTTCAATTATCAGTTCCTGTTCCATATTCGGAGTCAGCTAAACCCTTTGTTAACACTGGAACTAGCCTTACAGCATTTTCTAATGAAGCTTTTAGTGCAAGTTTAAGCAGGAAGACAATTATCATTTTAATTTCCTCATCACACTGGGACTTCTCCGCTCAATTATTATCCAATGAACTTAGCGGCTAATGTGTGCACGATTTTACTATCGACCAATGATCAAACTAGCCGAAGGGTATTTAAATTAGATTTACGTCCCTTTGAACATGTGTGCGATGCTGTGTGTAAGACCTAGACACAAAGTGGATGTTGCGTGTTACCATTGACTTGTGTGTGTGCACATGTGCACATGAAAGAGACAGAGTCTGAGGCAGTGCCAGGTGGAAAGATGAGAGCCACATTTATCATAAGAGATGTAATTTGCAGTCAGTGTTGACCAAATGGCCAATCAGCTCCTCAGCTTCCACCCACTGGGAAAGGTGGATGGGTCGGATGCAGGGGAGGAGAGACAGTATATCACCCACCGGATAAATGCATGGGTGAAAATGTGAGTGTCAAGCTCATGGAATCTATTAGTGGCGGTGGTAAATCCAAGGCACGCAGTCACAACCACAGCTGATAACCAGTAGCTGATGCCTAGAGGGCTGCCCTGCCACACTCTGCCTGCCTGTGTGTGACTCAGCACAGGACATGTGGGCTACCAAGCACAGCTTCTGCATCAGCAGCTCAAATGCACAATCTAACACTCAGACTGACCTCACCATGAACAATAAGGCTGGCTAGCAACAAAGCTACAGAAGGCTCCATCTGTTTCTCGTTCACACACACTACCCACACACACACTAACAATGAATCCCCCCCGCCTTCCAGTCTAAAAATAGCTTTGAGCACAGTCATAAATCAATGTAACAGAAAACACATAACCTGTACATATGAGCGTGTGTGTGTGACATGCGCTGTGTGAAGCCTGATCATGTGACCAGAATGTAGGGCAACACACATCAGTAGAGCCCAGGAGGTGTGAGCAGCACACATTGGACTGTGGGCCTCAGGAAGAGTCCTTAGTGGCAGTGACTGTAGAACAAATCTATTGGAGTGAATATCCAAATCTCCTGTGCATTCGCTATGTGTCTGTCACGCACATGTGAGTTCCGACTCCCTATCTTCAGCAGTTAGCCTACAGCTTCCCAGCTGTCCCCCATGTCCCACTTCCCTCATTTGACCCACAAGACTGTTCTGGGCTTTATATACAAACCTGGATCCAGTCATCTGACGCACACAAACACTCCAGCAAAAAAAGCGCACCACTTTAAGTAGGAGAAGTGCTGAGAAGCAGAACAGCGTACGAGGATATTTCATCCAAGCACAGATACTTTAGTTTGTCATTTTTGTTATTTTGCACTTATTTCCATGCAAGCTCATTAACAGTGAAGCTTCAATATTAGCTAACACAGGAATTCGATGTTATCAACAGCATTACAGCTTTTGCAGCCACACACACAGACTGAGAAAACGAGTCCAAATTTCAGCTTTACTGCATGCAACTGTAGTTTTAACTATTCAGGGCCAATAGACAGTCACAGTCTAATAATACCAAGGGTAATGGCAGGAGTACCCCTGATACCAAACATGTACATGTTTTGGTGAGAAATGCCTTGTCACAGCGAAATGTCACTCTCATCCTTTCATGCAGTATAAGCCTTAGGACAGCTGAGGAGTATGTGAGGAGGAGGAAAGATGTGCCTGTGTGTATTATAGTTGGCAGCTGCCTGAGTTGATAATAATTAAATAGACATTTGGCAAACGGTCAACACTGAGTGTGCAGAGAAAATGTAGGGCAGGATTTGGCTTGTGCACGCATGTGAGCATGAGTGTTTGTGTACAGATACGGCGGTACTCTGGCTGTCAGAGTGTAGGGTAGTAGGGCACTATGTGAAATTTGGAGTGGATATAAGATTGGCTCTTATCATCTATGAGCCACAGGGAGGAAGGACTCAAGCTCCACGCAGAGAAGCGTACACTAAATGATTTCCTGGCAGAAGCTGGCAAATACAGCGAGTTATTCCCTCATCTAGACTGCATCCTGGCCCGTGTTGCTGCACCACAACAAAAATAGTAAAAAAATATAAATATATTTCTGCATATGCTGGCAATAATTTCCCCTGGCGTTGCATTAGTCTTGATTTCTGTCACAATATTCTTGCGCTCTTTTGCAACAGTGTGTATTTCTTCACAATAGCTGTGCATTTTCACACAACAGTCACTGCTGTTTATATTATAGCTATCAGCTGGAGATATGAGAGAGGAACCACTCGCAGACTCAGTGCACAATCCCAGCTGCAACTTTCCCCCCTCTGCAACAACAGGCACTAAGAACATACTGTGACTTTACAGTGCCTCACTAACTAACATGAGGCTACATATTAGGATACAGACTACGGGAACTATATAGTATTTCCCGATCCATTTTTTCCCTGTCCATGTCTTCAGAGTGTTGGTTCATTGCACTGGGGCTCCTACAGAAAATGCCATCACATTCTGTCATGCTGAACCTGTCATGGAACAGCCACAACAGAGGGCGGCAGCAGGGAGCGGGGCTAACCAGCAGCACTGAGGACGGAAAAGAAGTCACCGCAACACCTGAATCCAATCTCATTAAGCCTTGTATTTAAAGCCCAACTTTTTGTGGCGCACTGCGTGTTTTTCATTTTGTTTGGTGACAGTCTGTTTCTTAAGTACTTTCTAGCCTTTTGACTTTTTGGAGCCTTGCCTCTGTTTGTTTTGCTCCATAGAAGTTTACTTAATTTGCATGACTGTCTCCAACTATTTCAAGTGAAGACCTTCTCCTGCATATGGATCCAACTTCTTCTTTTAAGTGAAATGAACATCACAGAAATATCAGCCAGCGCTGATGCCAACGCCATCCTCTGCTCTCATCTCCCGTCTCACCTGGCAAACAGACCGTTTCCTCCTCCTCCTTGTTCTTTGTTCTGTTTTTGTCTTTCCTTTGAAGTTTTCAATCACTCTGCAGCAAATCTTGCAAGCTGTACACACATGTAACTGTGTGTGTGTGTGTGTGTGTGTGTGTGTGTGTGTGTGTGTGTGTGTGTGTGTGTGTGTGTGTGTGTGTGTGTGTGTGTGTGTGTGTGTGTGTGTGNGTGTGTGTGTGTGTGTGTGTGTGTGTGTGTGTGTGTGTGTGTGTGTGTGTGTGTGTGTGTGTGTGTGTGTGTGTGTGTGTGTGTGCGTGCGTGCGGGCGTGTGTGAGCAAAAGAGAGAGGCAAGCTGCACATGCACACATTGAATGAGCCCAAAACAGACTGGATAACTGGACCAGAACCAATACATTATATGTTGTCCAATCCAGAGGGCCACAGCTGCTCAACAGACATTTGCATTCATCAACTACAGAGGCACCCAACAGTAGGAAGAGGGACATGTGATAGAAGAGGACACACTGTGTCTTGTGCTTCATCAACGTGATATTCAAAAGGGAAACATTTTTTAGAATTCCATTCACTGAATAAACTGACCTAAGGTAATTTGATCATGATTATTTCTAACTTCAAGTCACTGAGACGCACCTGTGTGTAGAAGAACGCCTCTCCCTGTCTCTGTCTCTGCTTCTATGACTGTCTTCATCAAGGCTGTGCTCTCTGTCTCTGGATCCGTCTCTGGCCGTGTCACACTTTTCCTGCCATATGTAGCATTCCCAAGCCTTGGCGGTGTTAATCACTCCAGCGTTGGAGGCCATACCTCTTGGGATTAAGGATGATGCACCTAAAAGGAAAAACAGAGCCATGCTAGAAAGCTGAGGAGGGACGACAGCTGGCAACTGCACCAACCAAGCAATCACTGCATTCAGAGCAGCACCTGCCACAGTTTACAGCATGTCACTCTCTGCTGAAGTTCTTCAAATACAATACTTATGTATGATTGATGTAACCTCTAATGGCAACACTTCACCAGTAACGTTCTTTCAAAGAGCATATTTAGGACATTAACCTGCTGGAAGTTCAAATAGAATATAAAGGGCAGGTACTGAAAGAAAATATATGAAAAGCTGACCTGAAAATAATCAAAGCAAACCTTCAAAAGGCTGTAAATGTACACTGATGAGTCTAAAAGGTTCGTACATTTTGTACGAGTTGTTTGTATCAGTATTCGGAGACAGCTGAGAGCATGAGAGTGACTAACTGCAGGAATCCACTCACAAAGTATGGCCAAGATACCCAGAAGCAATACTCAATACTCATCTTCCACCATGATTGATATGCTCTATGTAACAGCCAAGTCGCAAGAAGAAAGTGTTGACATTGCATGTTTCTGCAAACCACAGACACGTTACATTTGCAATTTTCATACGTATCAAATCAACGTCTCTAAAGTAACACAAATACATACGCTGACATTGTCTACAGGAGGTGGAGGGGATGGTGGATGGCATTTCACTAAAGTGAGACACCTGCCAAGCTGTACACTGCTGTTCAAGACCAACAAACAACAAAATTGGTTGTGTTTTAGGGAGTTATCACTGTGTTTCCAGCAGCTTTTAAGGCTTTAAAAGTGGGTGTTTTGTGGTGACCCGTCAATGTGTTTCCATCAGCTTTCAGCCTCCAAACTAGGGAATTTTATAGTGACTGTTTTTCAAGCGGCTTTGTAGGCTGCAAATGTATTGTAGTGACCCGTCGGCAGGGATAGTAGCACCAAAAGCATTTGTTTTGCCAGTAATGTGCCCCAAAAGTATCTTTTCCTAACCATAACCAAGTGTTTTTTGTGCCTAAACCTAACCACATGTCAACCACAGCATTGTTCAAATGTAAAATTTCTGCGTATCTGCCACATAATAACGTGCAAAAGTAACTTATCCATGGTTTGCAGAAATGTACGATCGCAATTGGGTTGTACGTAAAGTCATCATGGTATAATGTGTGTAGAACGTAGGCTGAGGTCATTATCATCAAACACACATTCCTGATTTTTAAAGAAATAGTACCTGATGATGACCTGCGCTGTGAAGTTGAGGGTTCATCAAAGCCTTTAGAGTGTTGACTGAAAATGAAAACAAAAAAAGTCACAAGTCATACATAAATTCTCTACATGACTCCACACCCTGGTCTGCAGCATACAGTTTATGTGAAATGCTGTTTGTTCTATTTGTGGTGACATCTGCAGTCAACATTTTATAGTATTTATCAACCTCCTTATCAAATATCTGTTCCTGGCAGGCGTATACTGCCTGTTATCATTCAGCTTGATACAGTAATTCATCCGAAAATTGTGAAAAGAAACAGAGCGAGCAAACAAATTTACAGATGAATCGATGAATGAAAAAATCAAGTGGATCAAAGCACTTTTACAAATGCACAGCTGTGTTTTCCCAGTGTTTGAAGTGACTGGCTCATTGTCAAGGCACAGTGTGCGCTTGCCAACCCATGAGGAACGGATGGAGGGCATATTACTGAAACTTTCTGGATCTTCCGACCGTCCACGTGGCCTGGACCCACACCTGCTTCCAATTGAAAACTTCCGAGTGTGCTGAAGGTGTGTATGAAGCTCATCCAATGGGACTGCTTCCCATCAGGTGTGAGTCCAAACACACTGCACCATAAACCCCGTAGTAAGCAGGTCCATCATTCCCTGTGCTACGTCAGCACTGACCTGGCCAATTTTTTTCTCTCTATAATTTTTATGTTGCTTTCATAGAGAGCATAGAGAGATGCAGAGAGAGGCTTGTTTGTGAATGGAGACAAGATGAGTGAATGAAAGAGTGAGTCTGGTTGAGTGAGCATGTGGCTGCTGGCAGGGCCCTAACCGGAGGATAATAACAGTATGCTTAATGGTTCGTCAAAGCACTTCGCACTCACTCAGTGCTCACACCTCTCACTTTGTGGCCTCTGTGTTTCATCGACATAAACAATGATGACTCTAAATTAATCTAAACTGCACCACTACTTCTTTAATGGTCAGTAATACATATTATGGTTTTGACACATCAGCAGCAGAGAGGAGTCGGGCCCTGTTACTGCATCACTGGAGAGTAAAAGAACAGATATGAGATGTTAAATTAAAGGTGGTTGATATGATAAACACACACTGATTCTTTGAGGCATGATCTAGATGTTACCCGGCTATTTTACTGACAAAATATATCCAAAGTGACATTTATACAATGCTCAGTTTGGACCATTTCAAGCAGATATAACCCTGCAAAAAGAGAGTTATCAAAATCAGCTGAATTTCAATATGTTTCTGGTTTGCTGTTTCCAACATTGTGCTGGCATACTGGACTGTGAGTGGATGTCTGCTTCTGGCATTGTTTTAGTTTTTCCACTATTTTTTTTACTGCAGACATGACTGACTCTAATATGAGAGGCTTCCTATTAGCTTGTGTGTTGTTCTCACCCAGACTAAGCCACTTTCTAACAGTTGTACAATAACAGATCCATCCCTGTCTTATGTGTCCGGAGCTCTTTGCCAAATCAGTTACATAGTGTAAAACTAATCCACCGCTAAAAGTGGTTAACGTGTCCAAGTAGAGATTTTAAACTACCTTGAATCCCCTCCAACTTCTGCCAGTGATTATCAATCAATACTTCCTGTGTTTATGCCACAACAAAAGCCACTTGTTTTCCTGGAAAGCTTTTTTCTATGAAAATCAGGTACAGTTGTGTTGGGTTTGATTAAACAGCATGTTAGCTTCTAGTGTTTTCTCTGGTTTGACTTGATCAACAGTGCTTTTCCCACTGCACTGAATTTTTCTTTTCATCCGGCAAAAACATTATATTTAGACTGAATGGGAGAATTTGAAAGACTGAAAATCATGACTGTTCAGCAGCAGCATGACACCACTAATTTCCCTATAAAGGCATATCATTGGGAAATTAGCACAACGCCTGTTCAAATACTAAATATGAATGTTGGGAGCCCTATGGGCCCTTGGCCCTGCATACAGCATAGGACGCCAGGGCCCAAACCGTGCCAGGAATACCTGCTGTTCTAATATCCCAGAGGGAGAAGGCTGAGCAGCAAAAGTGAGGCAGGGACTATCTGTGTAGACACTACACATGTGTGTTAGTGAAAAGTTAAAAAGGAAATGATTCATAAAGCGTATGGGAGATGGCTGGCAGAGTTCATAGGAACAGTAAGTCCCTGAAGGATGTGAGGATTTGGCAGATGGACTGAGATGTGAGAAAAACCATCCTTTAGGACAGAGCACAGAGTGAATTTGGGCAGCAAATTAGGAGAAAGGAAAAGAGTAGGATTGAGAAAAGAGAGAAAAAAAGATAAAGGGACAGGAAGCTAGAGAGACAGACAAACCAGAGATGGAATGAGACAGGATGGCTAAAGACAACATCCAAGAGAAACAAGCTTAGCAACAAACAAGACTGAAGTGGTGTTGCATTTAGGACCTTGTAAGAAAATGCAGGAAACCTGGGGTACAGCGTGGCTCAATTGCGATCTAAGTAGTGTAAATTAGAGCTGAATGTGGGAGTTTGCAGACAGGTTGTGACATGGATCGGAAGAGGGGAGTGGGGGATGCTTTGGATACTGATAAACAGGCACAAACAAGGTTGCTGTCTTGCTTTCTACCTTATTTGGCCATTGGTCCAGCTGCAAGATCAGCAACACAGCACGCTGTACATGATAAAACTGATCCGGCTCAGAATGAAAAACAGTAATGTCATAAAAACCTAAACACAGGTTGTCCTTGGGTGTCAAATAAGAACCACTAGGTCTGCCTCAGAAATTAGGAAACTGCTTCCAACAGCAATTATTCTGTTTTAAATTTTCAGCACTAATGCACCTTTTATTAATGATCTCTAGTCCAGTCTCTGACTAATGTTTTTCTCTTCTTCCCACATTTTTTGCTGAATTTGTTTCTTACCCGTGCCTGCACCTGAGTCAAACCTCCCTGAATAGAGATCAGTGTGCTGTTTCCCTGACAGTATCTCCATCCCACCTGCAGTTTCTCCTGCTCCTATACTGCAGCCACTACATACAGACTTCTGTGGTACCAGACATTAAAAAGGACAAATTCACCGACTCACCTGTTCGAAGAAGCAAAAGCGGAGGAAGAAGCAGGGGTTCCTGGTCGGTAAAGGAAAGCTGCGTGCAAAAGAAGAAGACAGTGGCATGACTATTGAGTCACATACCTTACAGTGAGAGGGTTGAAATATGACTTTATATGAAATTATTTTAGGATTTCAAATAATGTACTTGACTACGCCCAACTTGTGAATGTAAGCCTAATGTAACCACTAAGATAACCACTTCAAGTTCTTTGAAAAGAGACCATTAATCAATTACTGTGTAACCATCATCATGTGTGAGGAGTGTTATCAGATGAACAAATTGAGTAGGATTTGTCGGTTGCGGTTTGTAAACACATTACAAACCGCAAACATGACAAAGTTGGCCCCTCCTCCCCGGCTCTACAGCTCCTCTTGGATGTGCGCTAATGATCTGGCACTTGATCGCTACATCCCACCCTTATGCTGTGTTCACACTATGAGCAACAACGCAACAGCGGGACCAGCTCATTATCACATAGTGGCTGAGTTGCCATCGTTAACATAGTTACGCCATCACAGGCTTGAAACAAAGCACCTCAACTGAACATCATCTAAAGTTTGTATTTGGTCAGAAAAATATCTAAGCTTTTGATCAACGTCTGAGCCCCATTTGAACATCACATTTCACCGCCCCATTGCATCTCTGTGTGCTCTGTAAGGTAGGGACAGCTAACATGGTGTCAGCTAACTGAGCTAAACACAATACCACAGCTAAAAACAAGAACATATAATTGGTTGACACTTCACCACAACATTGGTGCGCTGAGAAAAGTTGAGGCCAGCTTAACTTCAATTTGTGGCAAATCACGACCGTCTGCAGCGACAAGTGTCAGGCGTCAGTTTGTAGCTTTATGTCACCGGCTTTCATGGAAAAATTGATAATATGTGTGAACATGGAATTACACACTGTAATTGGCTGGGGCTACATACAACTGCCCAAAGGCTGCCGCCCAGAAACGTCACAGAAACAGCAAAATAAAAGAATACAGGCAGAGTTGTCTGCAGATATAAAACCGCCACACACTTCTAGATGGTCAAATGTGATGATTAAAGGGAATTATACAACAGTTAGTTCCGGCCCTGCAATCTGATTGGTCGAGAGACAGTAAAACCGTGATGATATTGGAGTACAACATCATGGTTATTTCACTGTGTATGTATCACTCCGCCTCACAGCTGATTGCAATCAACAATCAAATCAAAACTGATGGTTAGTGTCAGTTAGGTCAACAGTTGCGTTGTAGGCTAATTAATTCATCCACTGTCAAACAGCCAAAAATATGGATTTATTTCCTAAAATAAGTTTTGAATTGAACTATGAATGGTCATCAGAGGAAGATGAGGGAGAGGAGAAGCTGAATCCATCTGAGCACACATCCAGGTTTGTCAGTGTTTCATCAGCGGAGCTCAATGACTTGGAGAAAAGCAACATACTGTCAGATCAGAAGGCAGAGTCGGCTGTGCCTGTGAAGCGACAGTCCACCATGCAGTCACCAGAGACTTATTTCACCGGCTGCACAATTAATGGAAATGTGCAGATAAATGTGTATAAAGAGTAAGTGCCTGGCGCTCCATGTCTGCGTTACATAGCAACGGTGACAGCGGTGTCCTGAGGGAACTATTTTTGTTGGCGGAAGACAAATAAAATGCTTAAATGATCTATTTTGTCCTCATTTTTCAACATTTCTTAATCAGCCTTGCTTATTTAACTGTTGAACTGTTGTATAAATGCAATATCACACTCGAGCTTGTGATGCTTGTGACTCATATATCGTCATGGCTGTGATTGTCTTCGGCACGAGGCCGAGTATAGGAGTATAACATCACTCCCTCTCGTGTGATATTGCTTAATTATTTTTGTGAAAGTCTATGCCAGGGGTAGGCAACCTGTGGCTCCGGAGCCACATGTGGCTCTTTAGCCCCTGTCCAGTGGCTCCTTGAGACTTTGAGAAAAGAATTCTATGGAAATTGATTCTATCAATCCAAATGTTGCTGAACCTCAATAGCAGTGGCTGGTTAGCTATGGATGCCAAATCCAAAAAAGTAAATTGAATAAAATAGAGAACGTAGTAGTGTGTGGACAGATTTGTTTGCTCTCACTGCCAGCTCTGCAAAATTTAAGTACCAAATAATCATAGATAGTGCCCTGCACAGTGGCCACCTTATGGTAAAACATATTAACAAATGCTTATTTAGACCATAAGTATAAGCTAATTTAGACGTAATAGGCTATGTTACCTTGATTATAAGGCTCAAACATGTTTTGCGGCTCCACACAGATTTTTTCAAATTATTTTTGGTCAAAAATGGCTCTTTTAATGGCAAAGGTTGCAGACTGCTGGTCTATGCAGTCAATGCAATCATTTTCACGTCAACTCAACTGGAGAGAGTAGCCATTAACAACACACAACATTACTTTTGCATTACTACCTTTTCAAGCTTGCTAAGTGGATTTCTGCCTTTGTTTAAGATGAGTTTGCTTCACAATTTAAGGAAAAGATTCAGCAGACAATTTTGAGCAAAAAGACTATGATACAGAGACAGGGTTCAATAGGCAATGATGCTGAGGTATTTGCCTTTATGTGGCCAATGTTGTTTAATACTGTGTGCCATAATTACTTGAAGTGTAACCTATAAGGTAACATGGAAACATTTATTTTGATTATGCATTAGAATCCATGCAAAACTGCTGAATCAACCTGGTCTAGATGCAAATGTATGTTCTTCTAAATGCAACAACTTGAAATATTTGAGCAAAAATCTCAGCTGGGTGTATATGGAAGTATTAGGAAGACATAGTGTGGGAAGATGAATGTGTCAGCATTAATAAATGGAACAAATAACAGGAACACAAGCTACAATTTCAAAAACAATCCCCCATTACCAACAACATCATCAAATAATTTATGGTGCTACTCCTTTTAAGGTAGAGAAATTGGATCAGCCTCAAAATGTCAGAGCAACAAAATGTGGCAAGTCCTACTTTCCTTTGCCTCCATCAATAAAACAGAATGAGTCAAACGCTTGGGTGCACAGTTAATGGTCCCACTTGTAATAATGCTCAAATTTTACGTGACCAAGCAACACAAGCAGATCTAAATCACACACTTGGGCTGACTACACATTCACAATGCGTACACACACACACATATAGAGATTCCTTTGAAGAGCCAAGGCAAAAACACACACACACATCTGGATACCATCCTCTTCTTTTTTCCATTAAGACCCCTAACGTGAGAGTGGCTCAAAGCAGTTTTCAACAACATACAGAACACACAAAAAAAGGGTTGAAACAGGAGGAAGAATAATAAGAGCTGTTGGAAGTTCAAGCCTGAATATGAAAAAGGAGCACAGGGCTCCCTTGCTTTGTGGGTGAAATGTAGAACATCTTCCTTCCCTTTCAAATACAAGTCCCACAGAGTTGAGAGGGCCTGAACTGCTCACTATGGAAGACTGACCCAGCAAGGCCTTTGATACTTCACACACCTCGACACCCAAGGGAAGACACACACACACACACATGCACACACACACATACACATGCACTTCCATCAATCTGAGAGAGAAAGGCTTGGAGTGTAGTGCTGAGGGCATTTCTTTTTAAGGTACTACATGTAACAATTTACATGTATAAATCACTTTTTTGCCAATCGGTGAATGGACTGTAATGTAACTTAAAAAGAGGCAAACTGCAAAATGAGAAGTGTCTCCAGCTGTTCTACTTTTCCATATTTTGACATGAAAAAAAAGCATGTCAGGGCATGTTAACTGGAGTATGCACAGCTGCATGTAAATGAGAATATTAGTGGAATATTGATTTACAGCCTGTGCATTTGATTTACATTAGCCATGTAAACAGACAATATTGTCTTTTTCGAAATAGGGCAAAACGTACGTAAAGTCCAAAGCATGTGATGTTTTTACGCACTCCCGAGTGCTTTGCCTCTCTTCAGCCCCCTATAGCAGCAACAGTGTGCAACACTAGCAAGTGTTAGCTAAGAAATGAAGTCTGCCAAATGACTTATGTAGGAACCAGATCTGCTTGGCCTGGAAGATCTTCTCGGGATCTTGCATGTTTAGCTGAAATAACACATTATGATTGGTACTGATATGGTATGATTTATGCTCTGTTATTCTGCACCACAAACCCACAGGATCATTATATTTTCTGATGTACAGCCAATCATGTTGTTTCATGATATTTGTAAGTGCAGGACCTGAGGAGATCTGCCAGTACAGTCTGGTACCCACACTTGCACCCACCACATTATGAGTCAAACAGAAATTCTACAGTACAGGCCAAAAGTTTGGACACACCTTCTCATTCAATGCGTTTTCTTTATTTTCATGACTATTTACATTGTAGATTCTCACTGAAGGCATCAAAACTATGAATGAACACATGTGGAGTTATGTACTTAACAAAAAAAGGTGAAATAACTGAAAACATGTTTTATATTCTAGTTTCTTCAAAATAGCCACCCTTTGCTCTGATTACTGCTTTGCACACTCTTGGCATTCTCTCCATGAGCTTCAAGAGGTAGTCACCTGAAATGGTTTTCCAACAGTCTTGAAGGAGTTCCCAGAGGTGTTTAGCACTTGTTGGCCCCTTTGCCTTCACTCTGCGGTCCAGCTCACCCCAAACCATCTCGATTGGGTTCAGGTCCGGTGACTGTGGAGGCCAGGTCATCTGCCGCAGCACTCCATCACTCTCCTTCTTGGTCAAATAGCCCTTACACAGCCTGGAGGTGTGTTTGGGGTCATTGTCCTGTTGAAAAATAAATGATCGTCCAACTAAACGCAAACCGGATGGGATGGCATGTCGCTGCAGGATGCTGTGGTAGCCATGCTGGTTCAGTGTGCCTTCAATTTTGAATAAATCCCCAACAGTGTCACCAGCAAAACACCCCCACACCATCACACCTCCTCCTCCATGCTTCACAGTGGGAACCAGGCATGTGGAATCCATCCGTTCATCTTTTCTGCATCTCACAAAGACACGGCGGTTGGAACCAAAGATCTCAAATTTGGACTCATCAGACCAAAGCACAGATTTCCACTGGTCTAATGTCCATTCCTTGTGTTTCTTGGCCCAAACAAATCTCTTCTGCTTGTTGCCTCTCCTTAGCAGTGGTTTCCTAGCAGCTATTTGACCATGAAGGCCTGATTCGCGCAGTCTCCTCTTAACAGTTGTTCTAGAGATGGGTCTGCTGCTAGAACTCTGTGTGGCATTCATCTGGTCTCTGATCTGAGCTGCTGTTAACTTGCCATTTCTGAGGCTGGTGACTCGGATGAACTTATCCTCAGAAGCAGAGGTGACTCTTGGTCTTCCTTTCCTGGGTCGGTCCTCATGTGTGCCAGTTTGGTTGTAGCGCTTGATGGTTTTTGCGACTCCACTTGGGGACACATTTAAAGTTTTTGCAATTTTCCGGACTGACTGACCTTCATTTCTTAAAGTAATGATGGCCACTCGTTTTTCTTTAGTTAGCTGATTGGTTCTTGCCATAATATGAATTTTAACAGTTGTCCAATAGGGCTGTCGGCTGTGTATTAACCTGACTTCTGCACAACACAACTGATGGTCCCAACCCCATTGATAAAGCAAGAAATTCCACTAATTAACCCTGATAAGGCACACCTGTGAAGTGGAAACCATTTCAGGTGACTACCTCTTGAAGCTCATGGAGAGAATGCCAAGAGTGTGCAAAGCAGTAATCAGAGCAAAGGGTGGCTATTTTGAAGAAACTAGAATATAAAACATGTTTTCAGTTATTTCACCTTTTTTGTTAAGTACATAACTCCACATGTGTTCATTCATAGTTTTGATGCCTTCAGTGAGAATCTACAATGTAAATAGTCATGAAAATAAAGAAAACGCATTGAATGAGAAGGTGTGTCCAAACTTTTGGCCTGTACTGTATGTCACGGAGCGTCGGTAGCTTAGTGGATAGTGCCGACGCCCCATGTATAGAGGCGATGCCTCGCTGCAGCGGTCGCAAGTTCAACTCCGACTTGCAACCCTTTGCTGCATGTCGTCCCCCCACTCTCTCCCCATTTCACACTGTCCTGTATAATAAAGGCAAAAAGCCCAAAAAAATAATCTTAAAAAAAAAAGAAATTCTATGTCACCACACACACACAAACTTTTTATCTAGTGAAGCCTGCCTGGCCAGATGGGGATTTGACTGACACTGAGAATAAACTAGGCTCAACATAGGCGGGGCATTTGATTAATGAAGACACCTTCATTTGGTTTGGGCATCACAACAGACCCAAAACATCAATAGTATGCCGGTCAATCATGCTTTGTTTTGTGCATGCACACATGTCATGTAAGTTGATGATTTAAACCCGTAAAAAATTAAGAAATAAATAAAAGAACAAAGCAGTTTCACATCACAAAATCTGTGTTTTCCTAATACTACTTATCACGGAGGGGCTTCTTACTACAGTGGCTGACACAACAACGCAGAAGGCCCTGTCTAGAGCCGGTATTTGGTTTGTCCATTCTGAGCTACTGACAGTCTCAGTGGACGAGGACCAGCTACCTATGTAGATAAAAACGTCCCATTCTAAGCTAACAAAAACATAACGATTCTTTTTTTCAGGTAATTAAACACTAAAGAAGGCATACTTATTATATTACATTCCATTTCTGCCAGTACATCCCACTCAATCCTCCTGATGACAAGGATTTTCTGAAAATTACGCACAGTATCTTTCAGAAAACAAAGCAAAAGATAATACTGTGTGCTGTATGCAAACACACACCCACGATAAAGAGTCCTTACAACAAATAAAGTCACTGAATGAGTCTGTCAAATCGATAACTGTAGAAAATTCTAGAACTTTGTATTAAAAGTGCTTAAAACTGGGCCATCTTCCCACAGTAATTGTGCTGTGTAGTGTATGCTGCATACACACACATGCACTTACAGTAAACACCAGCACGTCCACACACATGCCATCGATGTTAGCGTGAGTGAGTAATTGTTTCTACCTGTGGTGTTCTCAAGTGAGTGTTTGATGAGGGCTGGAGTTCCACGCTTGGCAGCATATGAGAGAGCTAATGGCTGAGGGCTAATTGCCGCTCGATTGTGCTTGCATGGCTTTCTCTCTCATGCTAATGTTTCACAGAGCTACAGGCTGGAGGCTTTTAGATGGAGTTGATATTTCACATCGAACCACATGCTGCCGTTCTGCACTACAGCAAAGATCTGTCGTTTTCTTTGCTTAGGTAAAGGCTACTGTCTGCCGCACTCTGAGACGCAGCAGTCTGCATGCATGGACAGATGTGCACAATTCCTCATGCAGTGACAGCGTCCTGTCTTTGCCCTTTGTGCTGCCTGTGAAGAGCCATTAGCTGCTGGTCGAAAGCTTCCAGAAAAAAAAGCAAACCCTAAAATCAATACTGGGTACAAACTTCTGATGTAATTGTTTTCTTGGCAATGATGACAAAGCCTAAATCTTATTGGTATTTTGACATATTATGTGGGTGATAGTATTCCTCATTTTGATTCAAATGGAAAAAGCTATAGAGGTCAGTCTTGCTCATCAATAATCATGATCTGAGGGCATCTGGTAATGGAATGGTCAAGTTAGAAAGAACTATACGTTTGCTCCGCAGTGATCTTCAGTCAAAGTATCAGTGCCAAATGGAAGGACCCTCACATACAAGCTGTTATGCTACACTGACTGTAGTGACCCACTAACCGGCTGCAGAAAGCATTAACTGCAGCACAGAGCAGCAATCAGCCTCACCTTGGCTGTGTGCTGTGCTGCACTGATAGATGACACAAGAACAACCCTGCAATGACACAGTTCCACTCCAAAATCTGCACCTATCAAACACACTTGGTATTTAATGTGACCTGAATGAAAAGACAAACAAAAAATTAAAGAAAAGAAAAACCAACTCCTTCTTTCCCGCTGCCCTATTCCCAACAGTTGGTCTGTTCAGCACATTTCTCCTGTCACAATATGCTGGCTCTGCACTTCTTTTTTTTTTTTTTTTTTACCGGGGGGCTATTTTTATCATGTTACACATTTGCATCACAAAAGCAGGCCGGGCCTATAAGTTAAAGAAAGGGGAGTGGCCTAGATAAAAGCTACGCAAATAAACTTCAAAGCCGGAGTTGACTGTTTAAAGCTGCAGTCGGCAGGATGTTTGATATTTTGGTTGTGTTAGCAGCTCTGGCACAGGTTCACCAGGCAGTATGGGGCTCACAGAGGGTGTGTGAGGGGTAAGAAGGGGGTCTAAACCGGCACATCTATTTTGGAACCTTTGAAGATGGAGATATGGCATGGCTCAGCTGTGTGCTTCCTGGATTTCAATGTAATTCACTACAAAGACCGAGAGGAAGTCCAAAGACTGACAGCACCTGGATGGCACTACGGACACCTGCCTGCAGGAAGACATACATCCATACAATGCCTTCACATGCATACACGCACACACATGCACACACTGTTCACCTCTGTCCTTCAGCTCCACAGGATTATTTATTATGACACGTGCTGCAGCCTCACAAACACACATGGTCAGATCGCCATTAGTCATTTGTGCAGCTGCATGATGCGTGATGCGGCCCACAGGGAGTTCTAACGGGGCCCTTTCCACCTGAAATCTCCATGTTTCACTTAAATAGACTCCTCCAGCTTCTTAAAAGACAACTCATCTGGTCATTATCACAGCATCAGATGTGAAAAGGCAATATGCAAGGGTGTCTGCCTATTCAGTTGAGGGATTATGTGGATATATATATATAAGTAAGTGTGTTTCTTTTTCCCAGTGACAGGGTAACTTACGTGGTGGAGCGATATATGCAAAGGGAGAACTGAAGTTGGATGAAGAGGGCAGATGATGAGAAGTGGATAAATCCTCCTCGAATGACATCTCAGTTAACACCTGCAATGTAAACACAGATATTAAAGGAATACTTCCCCCTCCAAATGGCCATTTGTATATCAATTAATCACCCCGTGTTACACTGAATTAGTAAAGAAAACTTTGTTCGTTCACCTGCGGTAAAAGTATAAGTAAAACTTATATATGTGCTTTTCAAAGCCAGACCCCATCAACAAAAACATTCATTTTACCTCACTAAACACAGGATGGCTGATCCACCGCTATGGTTTAGCTCATTTAGTTTGTTTGTGTTATTGTGTGACTTTGGTGAACTTGGACTAACCCTTTAAAACACCAAAGTCACACAATAACGCAAACAAATTAACTGATTGTGGCAGCGATGGGCCAGCAGCTCCCACATTCAGTGAGGTAAAATGACTGTTTTTGTCAATGGAGCTTTGAAGAGAACATAGCTTAATTTTCACTTTCCTTTCAAAAAAGGCTGTCAGTTTAGGAAGAACTGAGGATATGACTGGATAAATCAGACTTGGAATACATTGCACAAGTTGTGTGAGAGTGTAAACAGATGTTTTAATACAGTTTTTCTGCTGTAAAATGTGGACCCCATACGACTTAAACTCATCAAGAATTTTCTCCGTTTTTGGATTCTTTCTCACCAGAGGCATGCAAGAAAAGCAACTTTCTGTGTCTTTGTTTTTCAATCTCACATACACTACCTGAGAAATGTTTTCTTCATCACTGAGACATTGGCGCCCTTCCACTCTGCCTCTGGATCCAGGTCGTCCTCCACTTACATCAAGGGTAGCTCTTGACTCTCTGTTGATCAGGTCACATGATGAACACTCAACATCACATTCATGCAACATTTTGATGCAGTGCTAAAAATAGCAGGCGAGCCTTTCTTAAGATAAGTCCTCTTTCATATTCACCTTTTGACGTACACTTACATAACATTTTAAAAACAGGACATCATCGTAATCTCACTCTCCATGTCCCTACTACAACCCACTGCAGGTCCATTAACGCATTAAACCTCCTTATCTGGGTCATCTCGCCTTCTTCACAAAACAGACCTTTACAGTCCTAAACCCCAACCCCCACCCCCATCGAACACACACACAAGGGCACACACACACACACACAAACACACACACACACACACACACACACAGATGGGACACTAACCCCTTTCTGTCACTAGGACTTAATCAAGAACAGGAAAAACATACAGAAAGAAGGAATAACAACTACATCTAATGGCAGCTCAATAGGGAAGTGCTTGGCGCTCCTTAATGTCTCTTCTGCTCGCTTCAGCTTTGAAATATGCACCAAATAAAAATTTCAACACATATCTTTGTAGGGAGAGAGAGAACACACACTTTCTTTCTCATTCTGATACAACATGAATTCAAAATAAGGTAAAAACTGTGACTGAATCCCTCTCACATCTCAAAGGAAAGCTATATCGCATGGTAGGCAGTATCAGTTGAGAACATCACACACAGATCAACAAATACAAGAGCTTCCATCAGCAAGCATCACATTGTGAGACTCTGAGAGAATGAGACGTCTGCTGTATCAAAGCCTCATTGAACACATCATCCACTACATAATAGAGTGTGTGTATTTGTCTCTGGCATGCTACATTACGACTTCCTGGTTCCCCCTGCGGTCCAGCTCTGTCACTCAGACACAGGGAGATGACATGACGCCACACTGCGCTCAGATCCACATGACCTCCCCTGAGGGGCAACCTTGCCAACGGAGGAGAACATCATCAAGGCAGGGACAAATCTTTAATTAAGTGGCCAGTCCTGCCAGTAAGCATCCTTGACAGCCATTCAACTAAATTGGAGGGAGTCAGGGACAAGATGCTGTTGTGTATGAGCAAAAAGGCACGCAGCACCTAGTCCATAAAGAAATGTACAATGTGTGCTGGGACTGGATGCTGTTTACTAACATGACAAGTATCTGCTGCTCATGAGTGTATACATAAAAGATGGGAGGCTGTAACTGGGCTGTAAAGCACCATGGGCCCAGGCTAACGACCATGTCTCCCACAGGCTTCAGCCAGCGCTGGGGCTCAAAACTTCCCCTTAAAAGCTAATGTGAAGAGGACTGTACACACAGCACCAAGGAACAGAGCAATTACACAAGCTGACCCATTTAATGTAGATGGGATAGTTTTTTCTGTTACTATATTACTATTGTTCTCTCACATTAAAGATGTGTAATTATTCCAATGTATGTAAATGAATTCAAAGTTGTATTCATTAAGTATTAGGCTGTTTAACTCATGTAAAAGTAGAAATACAACAAACACACTTCCAAGTAAAAGTGCTGCATTAATTTTTTTTCTTACGTAAGAAAAAGTACAGAAGTATTACATTACGAGTATCAAAAGTAAAAGTGCTCATTAGACAGAAGAATAGCCCCTGTCAGAATGTTCTAATAGGCACGTTCAAGCTGAACTGCGCCTGGCCTGGAAAGTGGTTGAGAGCAGTCTGCAGCAGCAGGGGGCATGACAAATAGCCGCGGTCAAGTCAAACAGTTTCCAGCAGCCCTCAGTCTGTACAGGAAATCAGGGAAACAATCACATTCTGTTAGATCTGATTGTGATTCATTAAAATGTTATATAACCCATTTATCAGTTTGTTTGCAGTCTCCAGTTTGTTAAGATTATCAGAGTAGCCTATTAATGCTTATGCTTCACAGGTGGTCTATACTTTCTACTTTCTAAAATCAGACAAAAAAGTCTCTCCATATGAGAAAAAAAAGTTTTATAAAACATCATATTATTGAGTCAACATCTAAACCAATCAGCTGGTAGATCAGGTGAAAGCCAGGCGTGTAGCATTGTGCCCTGGGTCCTGCAGTTGGTGGAGACCTATTGCCACACCTCACTGTAAAAACTGCGGCCACCTCGATCTTGTGAGGTTATTTTTGTCCACTTGTGCATGACGTCTGAGCGAGATGGGTTCAAGCTGCACAAATCTAACCGTCATGCATTGAAAGGCAATCAGCGCTGATTGAATTTGGCTCACCTCATACAAGCTCATTGTGTGGATCAGTATCACTGATGCGCCAACATGTGAGCAGTATTTTCATGTTGCAGCTGATCTAAGTTATACTAATTTGAATTTAGATTTGAATCTACAACAATACACAGTACATTATTAGTTAATTATAACACGTAAATACAGCTGTTAGATCATTGTAGTGGGGCGAAAAGTGCAATATTTTCCTGTATGAAGTAGTATTAAATAGAAATACTCAAGTAAAGTAGCCTACATGTATGTCAAAACTGTACTGGAGTGAAAGTATTTATTTGCTCTCTATCATTGTGAGTATAAAGGGGAGGCAAACTATTGTTGACAGAAAAAAACCCAAAATGAATACATGTAAAATAAATATATAAAATAAAATAAAATAAAATAAGTAAAATAAAAGCAAAAGAGGGTCTCAAAGACTGAGAAAAACTTGTCAAATATTGAACATTATAAAGTTCTAAATCCACTATTTGGACAAATCCCCTTACAGTATTGTGTGTCTCTACATACCTTCTACGAAATTTCACTTCAGGCTTAAACAGATGAACATTAGTCTCTGTTTACCTCAACACTTTGGGATCCCTTGCCAATACAACCCTAATATGCTGAGTCCATCTTAGGATCAGAGGAAACAGATGGCACTGGGCTGATAGTTGTTGTGTCACAAACAGAAACAACCAGCTGCCAGCCTCTCCAGGCTCTGAGCTCAGGGTTATAGAGGAGGAGGCACTGAGGACACAGGCATTGACAGTAAGTAGAAGACGTGTTACTAACCTCGAGGATAATATAGATGAGCTGTCTGGGAGAGAATGAGGACAGGACTCTTCTCCATATCTAGTCTGCCTCTCCTGGACCTGAGTGGAATAACAACTTTACACTCATCTGCTCTCTAATCTACTTTAATTTCTACTTCAAATTAAATGAGGAGCAATAGTATCTGTTGTGATTCTTGTTTTCAGATCATGTTCTCCCTCCTCACAAAAGAAGTCTGTTGACTAAATCACATCAGTAATATCTTGTCTTACCTTGATTTTAGTGTATATTTTTTTCCTTGCTGCTCGGGCTTTGGCGTGTTTCTTGCAGTAGGTGTTCCAGCTTTTTTCATCAAAACCATAGTTAAAGTAATCTGTGATGTCAGCACCTAAAAACAAAACACATTAGTCACAAACAAGCCTGCATATAATTACTGAATCACAGTGAGTGAGTTTACTTAGAGAGAGCACAATGGAGTGAATCACCAACATCTACTGGCTGTAAATCCACTGCTTACCAGGTTTCCTCCATGGCTTTTCCTTCCGTACTGGGACTGCTTGGTTATTGTCCAATGCATCAGTGTCATGTCCATATGTATTATCAACCGTTGAACATTCGACAGGATTAGAGCTGTCTGAAACAGACAACTCACAAACGTGACAGGTGTAACTGCCAAGGACTTTAAAGGGTATCTTTGGTACCCTATTTTCCCATGTCTTGCGTCTAAGTGACTAATGGGAACAACAATTTTTGAGACTGGTCCAGTATTGAGCAAGAGCTCTGCAGCTGGCAGCACCAAAACAAGCTGCAATATAACATTAATGGGCAATTGTGCACCATCACTGTACATCCACTAAAAGCGCTTGTTTTGCCACATCAAGGATGGCACTTGACAACATGGGACAGACCTTTTTGTTAAAGAGCAAGATCCTTTTTCTTTAACCTGACACAGACAAAATTTGCCAACACCAAACCCACCAGACTCCATTTAAAAACAGTATGTTTTTTAATCAGAAAACACACTAAATTCAAAGTCAACAGAAACAAAATAAAACTCACAAAATTAGTCTTGGTTCATTTTTCCACTGTTCCAACAATCATCACCTCTAGTTTGGTTGAACTAAACCCTATACTCACCCAGTTAGATGTGAGAACATGCTGGCTCTATACACGCTTAAATTACCGTTTATTTAATTGGACTCTGGTAGGTTTGGTGACAGCTATTTCAGGGCTGTTTCTGGTTAACCCTTTGAAACCTGAGCAAATTGGCTTGATTTCCTTTAAAGCATGAAAAGGAAAGACAGTTAAAAACAAACATACAAAGAAATGACCCTTAAAGATAAAATAAATAAATAATAATGAATTGTACAAAAATATTAAAAAATATAATAATTCAGAAAAAATATAACAAAAAAACAATAAAAAGATCTAAACTATAATTAAAACTACAATTATTCTGCAACATAATTTTAACATGTAATAATAATATTGATTATTAATATAGTTTTTCCCTATTTTTTTGTTTTCCCTTGTAATTTTTTTTAGTTTTTAGTTTAGGTTTTTTGGGTTTTTTTGCAATTTGTGGGACTTTTTTTTACCAAGTTGCTCATTGCCTTTTGTTCCCCATGTTTCTGAAAGAAACCGCACCAGTGTGCTCAGGGTTCAAAGGTTTAAATACTTGCGAAAGGCGTCTAAAAGCAGCACAAGACAAGGGATGTTGCTCCAGGTTTCAAAGGGTTAAGGAAAAATTAATTCACTCTTTGACTAAAACGTCTATCTCTGTAGAGATCTCTATAAGGTTGTCAGACACTTAGAATATTAATCTGAGCACCTTTAAAGGACATAAATTGAAGGTGCACAAATACCCCGAGTGGTTACACTGTAGCTGTTTCGTCATTCTGGCTGCAGCGCTCTCACTCAATACTGGACCAGTCTCAAAAACTGTTGTTCCCATTAGTCACTTCCAGGCTGAAAAATACCAAAGCTAGACCTACCCTTTTTAATGTAGAAGATTATCATTTATATGTTTTTAATAAGGCAGCTGGAGACTTTTTAAACATTGAGGAATCACTAAACTGAGGTGATGTGCAATAATGAAGCCAGTAGTCTCAGTGAAGAGGTCAGCTAATGATGACAGTGTTAGGCATAGGCAGATTTTGTGTTTCATGAAATCTGGCTGTATTATGAGGAGGCTTCATGTGTCCTGTTTTTTAACAATAGGAAAAAGTACGAACTATGCATTTGTGAATGCTTAAAGGTAGGATCTGGAGGATTTTCAAACAAAACAAAATATAGACATATACAAATGAAATCCTGCTTAATCATCACCTATGGGCTTCTGCTCATGTGTGGTGGTGACTCTGTTTGCAGAGCTCCTGCCCTTTAACTGTATTTTGATGTTTTTGTGAGCTAGGACCGCTTCTGGGCGGAGATTTCCCGAGCCAATGAGAGAGCGCAGGTGCCGTGCCCGAGAGTGTCCGAGCGTGCACCAGCGCGAGCCTTGCCTGAACCTCTTCTGTGAAGCCTTCTTCCGTACCTCCGGGCTCCGTACACCTGGGAGAGTTGAGCCTGATAGGAGGGGCCAAATTTGAATGTGTGTTTACAAACAGCAACTGGAAAACCCTCCAGACCCTACCTTTAAAGGTTTTACGTTTAATTAACGAATTACAAAATAATTTTTCCTGTCGTGCTTATATTATGTTGTGTCACCTTGTTCTCTGAGCCATCCCTAAAAGGTTCTACCCTACTTACCAACTGCATACATCCTTTCATCATCAGTTTCCTGATACTCAGGTGAGTTCTCAGAGCTGTAAAAAAACAAGGGGAACGCACATTATCAACACGGTTATCTCCATCATCATGACATTAACTTGAACACTGTGAAACACTATTGTCTGGGTGGAGCGCTGATAACCTAATTTCAAATGGCACCTCTGCATACAAGACTAATATATCACAAAAAAATAACAATGAAAATATCTCAGAGCTACATTTTGACAGAAGTGGGTTCCTGACAAATGATGCACATTCATATTATGCCCAACAGGCAAGCAAACACAATAAAAGGCTGAAAATGTAACATTATTTTGTCAGAAGATGGAAAGCAAACAGTTACACTCTCATATGCACGGCTGCACAGTTACACAAAAATCACTGCCTTCATCAACACGGTCATTGTCTCTGTCTTCATCATCCTTGACAGCTTTAAAATGACCTCATAAAACAAAAGAAACACACGGAAATAATAATAATAATATCAACTTGCATATTATAACACAGATTATTTGACAGGTGCTGTCATAAAAATACAAAATAATGTGCACAGTAGATAGGAATAAGAGCTGGGGATAAAATTCAACAGTGAGTGCTGCTATTTTTAGCTGAGTGCTTTACTCAGACTGCTCTTGTCAGGACCAGTTACAGGCTAAGTGCCCACTTTTACAGATTCTTTAGAGAATGATATTATGTTATTATAAAAAAAGAAAAAAAAACTATCACTTCTACAGCCAGTTACTGAATGGCACAAAAGCAAACAGGATAAAGCCGTCTGAAAAGAGGCACACCTTAAAAACACCTTCTACTTTATATTGAGAGATGGCTTATGTTCATGCCTAAATTTTGTTGGGATTCTTGAGGGTGGTCATTCTAACCATCAGGTATTGGGGCTTTAAATGAACCAAAAACTTAGACAAATGGGGGTGGCTGTGGCTCAGAGGTAGAGTGAGTCGTCCAGCAATATAAAGATCGGTGGTTTGACCCCTGGCTCCTCCAGCCCACATGTCGAAATATCTTTCATGACTCCCAGTTGCTCCCAATGACTGCTTGAGCAATGTGTGAGCGTGTGCAAATGGTTACTGAGTAGCAAGTGGCACCATGTATGATGCCCTCAGCTACCAGTGTGTGTGAATGTGTGTGTGAATGGGTGAATGTGGCATGTAGTGTAAGAGTGCTTTGGGTGGTCAGAAGACTAGAAAGATGCTGTACAAGGGTTGTCGATTAACTTATCTTTTGAATATTTAAGTGACAAATTCAATAAAGACTGAACTCACACACAAAAAAACAAGACTATTGTCGAAGCTTTGTATGTTACAGTAACATAATGTAATTGCCAGGTTATGTTACATTTACTCTGAGGTAAAGAGGCTGAAGAGTGCAGACCGCAGATATTGTTCACTTACATTTCCCAGCTCCCAATAATGAGCATCAAAATACTCCTTAATGTTGCACATAACTGGCTGCACATTTCATGCAGCATAAATGTCACACATGTATTGTGCAACTATAATGATCACTGTCATTATTGCACTGTGAAAAGTGTATTATATCTGAATGCTTCATCACTGTAACGCAGTTGGTTCTAATTGGAAATGAGCAGCACAGTTCAGGTTCAGGGAGACACTGGAAGATTAAGTGGGCGAGGAAAAATAACTGTAATAACGGCCTCATATAGCTGACTGTGTTATATGATAATTTTCAAATCGTGGTTGTATTTAAATGTAGCGTTATGCCCATAGCATTGCTTTTGAATGGCGCTCAGATTAAAATTAAAAGGGTCACTAGCATGGTAACAAATACAGCAGGACCATATGCCTCAGTATGACAGAGAATACACACCTGGATGGGATTTGAACCTCCTCCTTTCCCTCATCCTTGTTATTACTGGTGCCCAATTCAAAAACCACTGAAACACACACATACACGACAAATTTAAAACAAAGTTTGTGGCCTGATTTGACACTTTAACAAAGGTGTGCTACATTAACCCGGTCACCTGTGGCAAGTATAACAGCCATCAAATATGATACACAGCTGTGGAAGTTTTCCGGATCACACAAGTAGCAATGCTGCAGTGTAAAAATACTCCATTACAAGATAAAGTCTCACACTTGGTAAAAGTACAACAGTATTAGCATCAAAATAAACTTAAAGTACCAAAGGTAAAAGTACTCTTTTTTTTTCATTGGATTATAATTATTAATGCATTCATGTGTTCATCACCTTAATGTTACAGCTGGTAGAGGTGGAGCTGACTAAACTATATACTGTTAAGTAGCTTAATCTGTAATAATATTATTACTTTATCAATATCTTATATCAATAATCTGAATCTGCAAAGTAACCAATAATCAATGTTGTCAAATTAATGTGGTGAAATAACAAGTACAGTATTTGCTGCTGAGATGTAGAGGAGTATAGACCATTTCAAACTTGACAACATAACATTCAAAATGGCTCCAAGTGTATTTCCCGTTGGATGTTTGTTAATGCAGCAGATGACAAATATTTTTATTTTAAATATTTTTATTATAGTTTCCTTGGGTAGGTGACAAGAAACAAACAAGGACCAAAGTTGTTGCTTTCCAACAGAACAGTAATGAAACAGTATAAACAGTGTTGTAAATGTAATGCGTTACAGATTACTTGTTACTCTGTTACAAATGTAATAAATATCTCTTCTAATTACTTCATCAAAGTAATGTAACTTATTTTATTTGATTACTTTTCTAACAAATGTTCTAAACTGGCTAAAAGACGGCAGTCCTGCATGGCAAGAGGATGCAAATTAACAGAATGAATGTTACACACTAGCCTACACTTTTTACAAGAATAAATCTGGATGTAACCTCAATTGTAATCACCAACATTTTAATTAGTAAGTGTAATTTTACTACATTTTTTTCTCAGCAACTGTAATTGATTATAATTACATTCAATTGTAACTGAATTACATGTAACGTATTATAAAGTTGCAAAAAAGGGAAACACTTAAGTACAGTAGACTTTAAGGACCTCATAAATGTAACTGGGCAAAGTAGGCCTACAGTACTTAAGTAAATGCACTTAGTTACATTCCACCAATGGTTATTCATAGTGGTGTTTATGCTGGACATGTAGAGAACAATATATTAACGTGCATTAACGGTTGGCCTGTGTACACTTACACTGATAAAGTTTTCCCTCTTCGTCCTTGTAGAGAAGTACAAAAGTATTAGCATCAAAAATATACTTAAAATACCAAAGGTAAGAGTACTAATTTCGCAGAATCTTATTGGCTTCAAGTACCTCATACATTTACTTGGGCTAAGTAGGCCTACAGTATTTAAGTAGCCTAAATGCACTTGTGTGATTATGCTGGACATGGAGAACAACACATTAACGTGCATTAACGGTTGGCCTGTTAACACTTACATTGATAAAGTTTTCCCTCTTCATCCTCGTCACAGACAGCTGGGGAGTCCGAGTCCGATGAATACATTTTAATTCTAATGTCGCCTAAAAACCTATATTTAAACAAATATGCACCAGAATTTAAAAATGTAGATATTATTAGTTGTAAACATCTTCAAAGACGGGGTCCTGTGTGATCCTGCTGTCCATGTCAGTTAAATTGACAGTGCGTTTCCATGGAGACAGTTAAGGCAAGTGACAGCTCGTGTCTCATGAAGCCAGCCTTGTCATTGGTGAGAAACTAAATTTATTCTTGTTTCTTTTCAGGGATTAAAATGGCGTCGCTGGTAACTGCAGTGAATTCTGGAGCCTGCAATAATACCAATTAATCAATAACTGAAACATTCACACGTTTTTTTGTTTTGTTTTTTGCTTTTGTTTATGTTTAATATTTCAAATATAAGAGAACGTTTTACAGACAGATATATATTTCATTTGCTGACATCGACAATAATCATTTTAACATGAAATATAACATTAACACTTCAGCAGCACTGCCTGTAAGTCGCTCTCTGGTTGCTGCTTATTGCCATAGCAACGAGTCAATGCTTCGATGACGTTATTATGCTGCGACGCGCGATTGCCACGTCACCTTCAAGAGACTCGTGTGTTTGTTTTGTTGGAGCTACTTTAGCTGTCACTTCTGATGCCTCTGTGATACCGTTACATTTAGCTAACAGTTATAATTAGCAAAATGCTGACGACAGAGGATTTTACGCGCTTCCCGGTCCAGATGTGGGACAAGGTGTTGTCGAAGGTAAAGAAAGCTGTTGTTTTCATGGATGACAAGTGTGCAGAGGCTCTCCACTGGTGCGGAGGTGCTGCTCTCCTACTGGAGGCTGGAGCCCGAAATGTAAAGGAGTTTTCCAGCTTTGAAGCCTGTGGTGTGAATGAACCCAAAGCCGTGTTCGTGGTGAGCACTCTGTTGAAGGGCAGAACAGTGGACATCATCAAAGACATCATATCCCTCAGTCACTTCCAGTATTGTGTTGTCTTCACCACCGTTGCTCACTCCGTGCACTTGCTCGCCAACAACGTCACCACAGACATGGAGGGGAGCCCTGTGTTTGAGCAGTTTGAAGAGAAGCTGTGCGAGTGGATGGGAAACATGAACTACACGGCTGAAGTCATGCACGCGCCAGTGGTCTTCGCCCCTGTTTCACAGCAGCTGCTCGTCACACCCACGTTTGCACACTTGTTCCCCCTGCTCTCACCTGATCTGGAGGCAATAAATGTAAAACGACCAGAGAAGAAGAGATTTGGGAGCCTGGCTGACATAGACATGCACTCTCTCCCCACTGAGCTGCAGTTTGAAATCAAATCCTTGGCTTCTACGTTAAACTCAGTGTTTGAAGCTACAGGCACCAGGGAGGAGAGTTTTGCTGTGGGTCCCATGAGCCGCATCATAGCAGGGGAACTGGCCAATCACGCTCAAGCAAAAAACCGAAGGAAGACAGCCCCAAATAAAGCATCCATCATTTTTGTGGACCGAACAATGGACCTTACAGGTGACCATATTACATCATAACATTCTGCATATCCCTATCTGTTATTCTTTGTGGTATTAACATTGATGTTGATTTGTCACTGAAAATTTCATTTGTGGTTCTCAGGAGCTGTTGGTCACCATGGCGACAACCTAGTGGAGAAGATCCTGACTGTGCTCAAACCTTTACCTGGTCATGTGACAGATGTACAGGTGGACATGCTGGAGCTCACAAGTCTGCAGCGGACCCCTCACTCCCAGACCACCCTGGCCCCCGGCTGCCTCGCACAGTCCCAGTGAGTGCTTCTCTGTTTTTACCAGAGTTGATTTATAGCAACAGCCATTTTGTTCTTGATTAATTGGTGTTTCTGCGCACACATACCTGTTATAATCACCTTCCTGAGAGAGCTGGATGGGAAGTACTTTTATAAATACCAATCATTCATTGCATCTGTTTTCAGCCATGATTTGAAACAGTGTTCATTTCATTTTACTTTAAATGTGACCCATTAAAAGGAGAATACAAGTTTTATTGTCAAGAAAATATGAATATACATCTAGGGCTGCAACAATTAGTCGACTAATCGATGACTAATCGACTATTAAAATAATCAGTGACTATTTTAGTAGTCAATTAATCGGTTTGAGTCATTTTTCATAGAAAAGTACTATGAAAGTACCCCAAAATACTCTTATGGCAGCTTCTTACGTTTAAATATTGGCATCTTTACACACTCTCCCATGATGGTGAACTAAAACCCTTTGGCGTGAGTACGAAACAAGACATAAGATGACATCATTTTGGGGTTTGGGAGAGACAGACCGACATTTTTCAACATTTTAACACATTTTTCGATAAAATGATTAGTCGACTAATTGAAGAAATAATCGACAGATTAGTTGACAATGAAAATAATCATTAGTTGCAGCCCTATATACATCATCAATGAAGGACAACATTAGACGAGAGAAGTAAAGAACAGAAGAAAAGATAGAAAACACATTTTAGTAAGTCATCAGGAAGTCAAGGTTTTGGCTGGATAAAGACGTTTGCAGTTTGCTCTACACCTATACATATTGTACATATATTTATTCTTCTCAACTAAAATGCTTACATTTCCAATTTTTTTACTCTGTATGTACAATATTTGTGTTGACAGAGTTCAGGTTGTTCAGCTCACTTTTTTCCAAGACCCAATATGACATGATCACAGGGCAGAATTGGAGGTAATCTCTCTTGTGGCCTTGTGTTTTGCATAATAAGCCCCAATTTCTATTTGTTTTATTTTCAGGGAGTGGTTTCAAATCAAATCAAATCAACTTTATTGTCCCGAAGGAAATTTGTCTTGGGCACAAGTGCATGCTGTTGCAGATAAAAACAAACATTTAAAACATTGTGTGACAACAGTGTACAATTCATACAACAATAAACAATTCAGCACACATATTTGCAGACTGACATAACTGATTCCATCCCTGTTATCTTAAGCCAGCATTGCACAGTCCCCCTAAATAAATAGAAAATGGATAAAAAAAAAATTTAAATTTGCATGCACTAGTGAGTTTGTTCCCATCTGGAGGACAATATGGAATGTGTGATTTTTGTGTCTCTAATAGTGTGCATTAGTTAGGTGATAAATAATTTGTTAGTTATTTTTTAAGTCCATTTTTAATCAAACAACACTTACATTTAATGGGTCCAGCCACTACAGTGTGAGAATTTGCGGCTGATCATTGTAGTAAATCAAATACGCCAGGGATTTAGACTCCAGACAAAACCAGACGTTTGAATCTGTCACCTTGGAAACTGTGATGGACATTTTTCGCTGTGTATTCCAATGCTTTTTAATCGAGTAATCCCTCCAGTTTCCTTTGGAGATATAGCCAGTAAAAGTGTATGTTTTACCACACTAAGTTTTAGCACACAAAGAACTGCACTTCCCTTTAGGCGAGTGCAAAAGACCCCACAAGCTTATCACATGTGTTGCAGTGTTAATTACGAGCAGGCACTCTGACTGGTTGTGGCTTATTCTGATTCTTTTGCCTGATACAGCCTGTCTTTGTGAAGTTTGCATTCTGGGTGCTCCAGTTTCCATCCAAACTCTCAAGACATGCAGGTTAGGTTAATTGGAGACTCTAAATTGCCTCAAGGTGTGCATGTGAGTGGGAATGATTGTCTGTCTACATGTGCAGAATTATGGCTTCAGTTACTGAGGAGCATGGCAAATATTTTTTTACCCACCTCTTCATGGAATATTCATCCTATCTCAAACGGGATTAATTCTTATCCACTGACAAGGGATGGGGTTCGTTAGCATGTCATCAAGTCTGAATCCAGTTCCAAATCCCTCATCTGATCTTTTTAAGTAGTTTGTGTGATGGAAAAGGAAGACAAGTACCTTACCAACTTGGAGCTGGCCATTGGGATCCATGCCTACTGCTGACACAACCACAGTACACATTTCTTCATACTTTCCCCACCTTGCCAAACCCACATATGCGCAAACACACTCTCACCAGACAGAGCCATCCCCTGCTGAGCGAGTTGAGTGGCACATGACCAACAGTAGGTGCCAGTGGTTCAGTGAAGCTCGCATCTAGCCTTGGCTGTGCAGATGCACGTGTTCGGCGCCTGCGGTGGGGCTGTTGTACATGGCAGGGATTAGTCCTACATCATGTGTTCCACTCCCGCTTTGCCCCTTCATGTGGTTTCAGGAGGAAAAGACTTTGACTTAGAAGAAGAGTGTTGTGGCCGGAGCTGTCATGCAGTGTGTCTGGCCGCTTTGAGTTCATGAAGAGGCTTACACATACGGTGACTGTAGCAGGGACCGTTAGGAGCTAGGTGGGAGGTTCTGCTGTCATGGAACCAGTCTTAGATCTTTCTAGTCACTGCTTTTAGACAGTGTGTAGTGTAGCAGATCATGTGAGCACAGCAGGAGCAGGTTGCACGGACACCCAGATGCAGGGCTGAAGTCTTGGACACGTCAACCAGATACATACAGTACACCCAAAAATGCATGTCTCAAGTCACTGTAGTTGCTCTGAATGTCTCCGTTGCTCAAACACAGCTGAGTGGTCTCTGTAGTGTTGCATTTTGCATGCTCAATGCTCAGAGGTGGAATCTAAGTACATTCACCTAAGTACAAGTTTGAGGTACTTTTTAATTTCTACTCCACTACACCTCAGAGGGAAATGTTGTTCTTTTAACTTCACTACAATTATTTGTTAGTAAGGTATTAGTTACTTTACACAATAAGATTTTTTTTTGCACACAGGTCACGTGAAAATATACAAATACAACTGAAACAATTGGCCGATTGATTCAAAAATTAACTGGCAACTATTTGGATAATTGTTTAAGTCATGTAAAAACATTTCATGGTCCCAGCTTCTTATTTTTCTTATTTTCATTATTAAAACATTATGTAAAATCTTCTACATCACCTACATCTACTTTTAATGCTTAAATACATTTCCAGATTGTACTTACATACTTTTATTTAAGCAACATTTTAAATGCTTTTACTAGTAACAGAGTCTTTTTATTTTACAGTGTGGTATTAGTACTTGTGCTTTATTAAAGGATCTTAATACTTCCTCCACCACTGTGGATGCTGAAGCAACAAACTTACCCTGTGTGTCTATAAGAAAGGGTTAAGTGTAAGATCATGGATTAGAGTTTGGGACTGGTGGCTGTGCAGAGGTTGAACTCCCGACAGCAATGCTTCCAATCACTGTTCCAGATCTTTTCCCCCAAAAATGTCTCTCAGCCAAACACTTTATCTCACAACATCTCGATGACCTGTTCAGATACACACCTTCTAGCAAGTGCTCGGACACAAACGGACAAGACAAAGTGTCGCTGGGATTAATAAGTAACGCAGCGAGGGCTTTGTTTGTGCGGAGTACATGTCTGATCACAGCCAGCAGGATCAGCAGGACTGTTATTGCCTGTGCTATCTCTGAGCAGATGGCCCAGTTGAGCCTTATCGCAGATGTTTAGGAGATGAAGAGCCGCCGAGACACTGCAAGAAAGAAGCCTAGAGTTCCCACTTTATGTAACTGCCTTTAAGTGCGCAGCCCACCACAGGCAGAGTTTGTGTCAATCACTCTAATATGTACAAGACAGGGCACTGCAAATGCATGTTTTTAGAAGTGTACTGTTCTTAAGCATTAATCTTTCCTAATTCTATGAAAGATACAAAAGCACACATTTCTAAAAGGGATTGTTTTCTTTGCATGATGTGAACTGTGCAAAGCACTAGACCCTTCTGGCTCTGTGTGGTTTCATTGTCTATATAATAAGTTCCCTCCCACTGGATGTTTATACACCTATGGTTTGTTGAGCTATTTTTAGCTCAGCCCACAGTGTGTTTTGATTGGTTTTGTTGTGTAGACCAGTTCAAGCCTTTAAATATTAGGTGCGGACCTGATTTGGACCTTTTGTGTGATATTTCCCTCAGTAATTCCAGGATATTTTTATAGATTACTGTGTCTTAAACATTCTGTTGGTGGTTGTTGACTCTAGCTCTCCTGTCAAGACCCCACACTTACTTTGCAATTACTGTCGTATTGTCTTTCATAACCTGGTGTGAATTTTCCTTATCCTACAACCTGACTTTCACTTTGTGGTTTTAGTGATCGTGGCCGAGAGGAAAGTATACTTTGTGTGGGTGTATACGCGCACACACATAGACTTTTTGCCAGTGCTGGTTTTTTGTTACTCCATTCCCACACTGTTGCATTCCTTTTATGCCATTAAATAGTGCCAGGATGCACAGATTTCTGTATGTAGAAGGAGTGAAAGTGGCAGGGGGAGGGTTGTTTTGTGTGCCCGTGTATGTGTTTGTGGTCAGGTACCTTCCAGCCCAGTCTATGTAATTTGCTGTGCTTGGCTGCACGGCCCTTGTGATCCTGAGGAGGACATATGAACCCCATTGGCAGAGGGCACCAAGTTTTCCTCAGTCTCAGACTGAACCCTGCACCCCCGTCATCTGGCCGCCTTCGACCTTGATCCTGTGGTGGGAGTGTGTGCCTGCGGGCAGCACCGAGTACGGGTGGCCAAGGTGCTCTGGGTCCGCTGCTGAGCTCGAGCCAGGCAGAGTAACCGACCGCACCCTGCCATGAGAAAACACCGCGAGGCTGCCATCTCCTCAAATCTGCCCAGCTCTCTTCCATGTGTACCACCAGGAAGGAGGGAAAACACCTATTTCTGTCCCAGCTGGGAAATATGAGCATGAACAAAAAGCCATGCATGCTTCTTTGAGTTCAGGCTGTATGGGAAAAGTAACAAAAA